GACGAAATTCAAAAGTGGCCTATACTAACTTCATTGCAACCCTCTCCTTTGATCCATTTTGCAGTGGCCCACTTACAAATGCACCAAGTTGGATTCTCAGGAGGACATCTCAGCTTTCCATCATTTTGATCACCGTAGTTACCTATATTAGGAACAAACATAAGTTTGCATATGTGCAAGTTTTCCATTCATTTGAGCCATCATGGGTATCATCCTTGTGCCTCAAAATTAACACTAACAATGGCGGAAATAATTAAATAAACAAGAAATTTGACGTTAGTGCAGCAGTGTTTTTGTGAAGAGAATCGCATTTGAATTTTTAAGAGGAAACAGAGAAAGCTGAAGGGTAAGATTCTATTTGGACCAATTGGTGCGAAGCGAACTCTCTCTTACAACTTCGGAATCTGTGCTCTCATTGTAACTTAGTCAATTTAATTTGGAAATCTCCAAACTTTTTCTTGACCTTTCTAGTTGTAGAGAAGTAGTTTACAAGCGACTCTCAAGACGCATGAGTTATTCGCTCCAGCATTTAATATTATAATAAAACATGCTTATTTTCATTTAAATGGGCAGCCATCCTCACTAATCTGTAATTTGAAAATGAGTTGGAGCTGAAGAAAAATTAACTCGTGAGTTTTGACATGTACTTCAGTTGATGTCGACGTGTGAGCTATATATGAAATACGAATTCCGGTAAATCGAATTTTTAATACACTTCTCTGCAATGTTCTGTTTAGACGACGCACACACAACTTAGTCCAGCCACGAAACAGACCATATGTACCTCACTGATAGCGCACTAACCTCTCTCTTACTTTCAGTCTAACTGGACAAAATAAAGAGGAATAGACAGGAATTACTGCGTATAACGAGGGTAGCCTATTATCTCTTTTTATTAAATTTGTAATGCATAAAGTAGGGCATACTTACTCACTGAGCCACACCAAGATCTTTGTCCTGTAAATTCCCAGAAAGATGTGCCTGTAACTCCTATCTTGGCACAAACTCGATGAGTCGGATCGTGATTGCAGCGCCTATCAAAAGATAAATAATCGAATTTATCAACAATATTCTCGCTCTTAACGCTGTTAACCCTTCTCCCGAGGAGAGTATATATGAGCTCTTTTCCTTAAAGTTCTTTGTTACCACAGTAATAAATACTGGAAATGCTCTTACATTTAACTTTATCTGGTCATACCCCTGAAAGTTCAGTGAATCGGTGTTTGTAGCTATCGATTTGCAATTCGGAGTATATCAATGATTCATGTTGACCATATTGCATACTTATCAACGCCCTTACGAATGACAAATTAACTTTTAATTGCGTAACTGTTAGAGGGTGTTTCCAAACCAAAAACCAAAGTAATCACGTACATACATGCATGAATTCATACGTACATACTTTATTTGTTATAGGGGGTTAAATTAAACGCACCCAGAGGCTGACGTGGACCTACTGTCTACGATAAAAAATATGCTGTGTAGCAATGGCAATATGTTAGGAATAAAATAAGTGGAAATAAAAAGAATGAAAACGTTACAAAGGGTATATTAAGTTCATATAATGGGAGGGCAAACTACATGACATTTTTTGTGAGTGAGAACACACACACAGCTTAAAGTGAGGGACAACATGAGTGAGCAAGCCGCGATTGGTTTTGGCTTTGAATGCGATTGGCTGAGAAAGGGGCGCGAGTGGTCAGGACCATCCACGTAGCGAATTTAAGCAAACCCAAAGCAATCCCGGATTACTTCTGAAACTCGATTGTTCTAAAACAATAACGTAATACTCGAAAAGCAGCTTACCTGTCTCCTCTAGTGTCTCCAGGGCAGGGTTTAATTTCGTTTGACCGCGCCACGAGAGGCAGAAGGGCGAGTAACACCAGGCATGCGTTGGTCAACATACCGCAACTGCGACTGCACATTGAAACGAGATACATTAACGTGTAGCGTAACAAAACGATTATATAGGGCACTGAGACGATAACACGACAAAGGCATTTATTACGAAAATGATAGATCTTTATGTGTTTATACACATCTAACTCCCGGCAACTCGAAGCGTTGAACAAAATCATGTATCAGTATTACTATAAGATTCGAGTTATCAGGAGTTCGGACCGTCGAAAGCGAATAGATACGACTGAAATATTCACAAATTCAAGGTGAAACAAAGCCATCTTTACGTGTTTAGTATAGTGCTGTTCAAGCAACAGGCGCAATCAAACTCACTACAATATATCTTTAAAAAAAAGTATGATATTCTACTTAAAGAATCGAAAAAAGTCGGAAGAAATAGGGTGAGGCCTCCGGCCGATTTATCGAGGGTCAGTCAGTTATCAGTCAGTCAGTTAGTCAGTCAGTCAGTACTGCCTTTATTTAATGAGGGTGACACACAATATAAACTAGTGGCCCTCATTAATATTGCAAAGATGATACCACTTCGACTTCGACCTGAACTACTTTCGCCGCTTAATATTACCATTTTGTGGGCGAGATAATTTTACTCGAGTTTTTCCTTTTTAAACCTGTTGTAATTTAAATCTGGTATTTCTCACTCATAATCTGCGTTGATTATTGCAAACACAATAAAATGACTTTGAGCCCCGAGTCCACTTTAGCTTTAACAGTGGTAGACAGATGTTGCTTCAAGAAATGCATACGTTGGCGCTACCGCCCCGTGTCTTAAAAGCTGGTTGGCGTTCAATAGATTACTTTTCTTCCAAGACAAAGAGATCTTGTGAAAACAATTTTCATGAAAAATAAGTACCATGATATTCGTCCTAGATACTTAAATAGGCCTTTTGTCGGTCCTTATTTTATATGCGAAAATTAAATTTGATTAAGCGCTATCATGAACAGCCTCAGTGCTAAAAACAACCACTAAATCGGACAAGACTTTGCTCTTCCTGTAAAATAATTCGCTCCTAACTTTACTTTCTATCCTCTAAAAATCCATAAGGTAACGTTTCCATGCAACGTAATTTCCAAACCAAGATGTCCGGCATGAGTCGTCTTGGTGTTTATATGGTAATTTTCCCCTGGGTAATTTTCAAAGTCTGTGATTCATCCTCTCTGTCTTTGCTGAGGCATGGGTTTCTAATATTCCTTTTCCTTTCACTTCCCCGAGCGCTTTGCTTTTTCAGATGTGCCAATGGAATTTTGCAACACAGAAAAACACCACATCGAGAGGCCAAATTAGTTATCATCACAACAATCGGCTCGCGGATTAAAATTTAAAATTTAAAATTTATTTCATTTTGTCTGTTTAAACTCTTTCAACCGAAGGAACAGGACGAACAGGGCCGAAATACTTTGTAAGGAAACTGAGAAAAACGTGATGACCCCCACCTGCGTGGCGTTACACGTGAAATGAACATATGGTAATTTTTTATTAAAATCTCGACGCGTTTCGTCTCGATAGGTAGGATTACAGATGTTATAGATGGTATTCACAGATTTTACGTCTTTTTAGTTCAACCAAAAAGTTCCAACAGCCACACTGCAATACGTGAAGAAAAACCAAGACATGTTGAGACTTTCAGGATAACATTTCGACAGTTAGTGCATACAATTGCGATGTAACGTCAGGGAAGTGTTATGTAACTCGTTGAATTACTTCGATGTGAAAAAGCTTATCTTACTCCCACTAGTCCAGGTATGTTCCCTTTAATTACACAAATTAAATCGTCCGTCAGATTGTTAGTTTGATTATTCGAATTTTTTGACCGCAAGTCCGTTGCTTGAAACACGATTTCTATCGTTCAATCAAACCTATTGTCTACTCTATATCTACTTGTCTTCGTAGACAGCCATGCTCGAATTTTCGCTATAGAAACGGTTTTATGTGATCAGCAAGCTCGGGCATCATTTCCGTAACTCAAAAAATCAAAAAAAAAAAATTAAAAATGAAAAGAAAATCAGTAAAATCTACCTTCGTTGGTTTGTAATCTCGTAAGACAGCCGTCCTCTCGAGTACCGTGACAGAGGTAACAATAACACGTAGTCACAAAATGCAAATTAAGTACAGCTACATGTGAATACGATACCTGCATATTATTATCATTGAATTTGCCGTCTATTTCAGCAGGTTAGGTCTAGTAATATTTCGTGCGAATTGTCTTTTGTCCCGAGTGCAAAAATTTGCCGGCTACTCACATCGATTCAGGATTTAAGGAGCAGCACTCAAAACTGTTTTTAGATAAACACAGAGCCGCGAAACATGGGTACATTCATTTCAGGGGAATGTAGACTCTCTTGAGACTTACTTTCAGTGTTGGTACCGCCCTGTGTTTAATGCACCCAAATTTATGTAATCAAAGTATTTCACGTCAATCCGTTTTCTCCTTCTTGTGAGATAAATTGTCACGGATGCAGATTTAGATGCCTCGTACATTCAGTATAGATATAGATATAGATATGTCAATAATAATAATAATAATAATAAT